CTTTTCTTTTAAAAATCATCGTCCATTCTGCATAATTGGCCCAGATGTTTCTTACTGGTAGTGTGAAAACTTACAGGAGTGAAATTTGAGAGCCACAGAAAACATTACAGAAAACACTAAGACATACAGGAAATATTAGAGAAGCATCATGCAAATACTTGCCTAGAAACATTTTGTTGGAAATTCAGATTCTTTTTCAGTTTTCAGAAATAAATGTAGATAAAAAGGTCAGAAAAACGAAAATCTATCTTATCGTTTATCATTTCAAAGTAAATAAAAGGAGTTTACCATCTGACAGTCCTTTGGAAAACTATTATGCAATTACTCTCGGCCCAGATTTCATCTAGAACATTCAAATCCATTGTAATCTTACCAAATCCATAACATGTTTTGGGTTAAGCCACCTCCAAATAGAACAGCTCAATAACTAATATACTCGAGAGATTTTTTTCTCTCTCTTTTTAAAAAGAGCTGCTTAAAAAAACAAAATCGGGGGCAGCTCAAGCCTGTAATCCCAGCACTTTGGGAGGACAAGGTGGGCAAATCACGAGGTCAGGAGTTTGAGACCAGCCTGGCCAATATGGTGAAACCCCATCTCTACTAAAAATACAAAAAGTAGGCAGGCGTGGAGGCACGCACCTGTAGTCCCAGCTACTGGGGAGGCTAAGGCAGAAGAATCACTTGAACCCGGGAGGCAGAGGTTGCAGTGAGCTGAGATCATGCCAGGGCACTCCAATCTGGGTGACGGAGCGATTTATTTATCCGTCTTAAATAAATAAATAAATAAAAATTCAGAATAGGGAAGCAACTCCTCCTTATGACGAGTACCTTTCGGCACTTATATGGGCTTGCTTTTGCACTGATGGCACCACTTTCATTCAAAAAAAGAAGTTCGCTTGCACAATCTCCAAAGACCCGTTTGGCTTGGTTTCACGTTCTAAAAGTAAGGTTTTAGATTAAATGAAAAATAATACTTCTTACACATAATTATAAGGTTTTTAAATTTTCTCTATGTTGGTGTAAACTTGTAAAGTCCTCCCTATGAAAACTGTCCCCCAAATCACGTTACTTGGTCGTCCTCGAGGAACGATTTTGAATGAAAAGCACATAAAGTGCTGTAGCATGGAGACGAAAGACAAATAACTATGCTCTTCTCCCAAATTAAGTTATGACTTACTAGGGGAGGAAAAGGAGCAGTATAAAGCCCGGTCCTCTGCGGGAAGTACTCGGAGGCCTGCCCCGGAGCGCGCTCCTCTCGGCTACGAGATGAGGGGCACGCAGACGGCCGCGCCTCTCGGTGAGTGTGCGTGTATCAGTGCATGATTCCTTTACTCCGCCCACAGAGTCTGGGCATCCGTCATTACCCACGGCTGCCTGGTCAGCAAACAACAGCTGATCCGACAGCCGCCAGTCACCTCGACGGTCCACGCCCACCGCTAGCCACCAGTCTCCCGCAGACCGGAAGCCCTTTTGCCCCGGCTCGCAGGTCCACCCTTTATTGACAGCAGGAACCGGAAGCTCTTTTGCCCCGATCGCCTGCGCGCGGCCTCCTTGGCCGCACAGGCGCAGTGGAGCTCGGGCGGAGTTGTGGGAGTGGAGGAGGAAGAGGCGGTGGGGGGTACGGGGGCTGGTCCCAGAAGATGGCGGAGGCGGGGGTAAGTAGGGGGTCTCCCGGCGAAGCGCGGGTGACGTGGTGCTGAGGAGAGCAGCCTGAGGAGGAGGGTGGCCCTCGGGAAGAAGAACTACTTGTGTTGTTGCAGCCTGGGAACCCTGGTGGCAGGTGCGGGGAGCCAGGACCACTGATGGGCCTGCAGGGCAAGAGGCTCCGCTTACCTGAGAGGGGTCCGCGAGGTCCAGAAGGGGACTGCGGGATCGGGGAGGGGTCATAGGAGGCGTCCAGGCTCCTCGGACAGTGGATGAGTGTCTGAGCGGGAAGAAGTCTGGAGGACGGCGGGAAGGGCGAGCCAGAGGTCTGATGAGGTGGAGGTCAGCGAGCTGTCAAGCGTAGAGCTGCCAGGACTTGGGGGCTTGTAACCTGGGAGAGAAGACTCAGGTTTGGGCCGGGGTTGGATCCAAAGAAGACAGGTTATCGTAGTAAGTTTATAATCCACTCAAAAGATAGGGCATTGGGTTGAGGAGTAGGACTCTGGCATTTTGGACTGGAATTGGTTACCTATGGAATAGGTGTTTCGGTAAAGCCAAAGAAAACTTGCCAGGGCCTGGAAGTGGATTTGATGATAGTTACTGGATTTTACGGTTGTTTAGTGGGGATTGGCAATATGGAGAAGGAAAGCAGTGTGGATTATGGGAGTGGGCGCGAGCAATGGTGCTAACACCGTGTCCAGTTAACGTTGGAAAAAGTTGTTAAAAGTATGATATTAGCTAGATACTCTAGGAAAATATACCATGAAGAACTTGCTGTTTTGTAGGATTGATGAAGAACTGCTTTAAAAACGAATGGTTAGGCTTGGCAGCTGGGCCGCTGAAACTGTTTGGTATCAGTATTGCGGTGAAGCTGACTGCAGGGGAATGCGTGCTCCAGTCCTGGTGCAGAAAAAATAAAAGCAGCCAAACAGTAGCTAGATGGTGTTTTGTAACTTTTGGGTTTGGCCCTGATAGTGAACCACTGAATGAAGATGGATGAAGGGAATGCTACTAATGGGGGCCCCAAAGAAAACGGAAATTAGACGTGTACCCTTCCTGTTTTCTCTTACTCAGTACTGTGTTTTGTCATTGTGTTATGTCACAGTTATCGGTTCATGTCTGCTATCCAGTGACCAGGCTGTGAATCATGTACCTTTGGGAAAGAGGTTGATTCTGTTTAACTGACAACTGTTGCTTTTGCAGATGGTCACAGGGAAAGGAAAGGATAAAATGCAGTTCAGTAGTTTAAAGACAGTTTTCTTAGTTCAGAAACTTAAAACGATAGAGTAACTTTTTTAGGCACTGAGATATGACATTTAAAAGCTGCAAGGGAATGTGAATGCAGTTAGCTTACTGGTTTCTGTGTTTGGGTTTTAATGTTGAGAGGAGAGTTGCAGTGTTTCTAAGGCAAATATTTCTTTTCTTCCTAGAAATTTTTAACATCTCTAGCCCATGATACATGTAGATATGTTTTTATTTAGGGAGAATTAAACTGTTTCATTGATTTAAGTATGTTTTTTTCTAATGTTAGTGCTTATCCTATTTCAAGAATGCTATTCTAATTAAGAGAGCATATGATGAAAAATATGTGAGGTAGTAATTCAACTTTATTGTTTAGTAGCTTATGTGACCTAAGCACCCGAAGAGACAGGGTTATTTGAGGGAGTAAAAATATTTCTTTTACTGCTAATCATTGGAAGAAGAATGGTCTTGTCGTTTGGTTTTAGGGGGTGTTGCAGTTGTTGCAATGCAACAGGTTCTTAAGGTTACTGGAATATTTTGTATGTGTGTTTGTTTTCAAATGCTTGTTGCCTCTAAGTTGTTTCAGTGGCCAACATGAACTTTGATTTTTATTCACAAAGCTCATAATCACTTATAACTCTTTTTTTAACCTAAAAGTAATAATATCAATCCATTAGTAGGCAGCCATACACCTGGATTAATGTTTTTCCAGTATTGATGATTCATCATTGATCTATGCAAATTATTTGAACTGTTTTTCTTTCTGTTTAGTATTGTACTTTCCAGAAATTTTAGCCAGGGCTCAAAGTAGAATTTTTCAAGTTTAGTGGAAAGTTTTTCTTTGTGAATTGTTGAAAACATTATTTTGGTATTTGCTAGTTTACCAACATGATTTTAAAAACGGTTTCCTTGTGTGGCACTTATATAGTTTTGTACCATGTTTGTGAATGGAAGCAATGTGGTGAAGCAGAAAGAACTCTAGACATGGGGTCAGAGTGGGTGGGCCTAGTCCTGGTGCTACCTGGTAACAGTTCTGTGATCTTAGAAAGTTACTTAACCTATTTTATTTCGTAATATGGGAACTAACAGCACCTGCCCATTTACCAGGATTGTTTTCGAGAATCTATGGAGATATTGTCCTTTAAACAGTATCTTTATACCAGAGACTTCTTCCCTGGTCAGCAAATTATTTGTCAAGTAATCTAAATTTTTCAAATATAGATTTTTAAAAAAATTTTGGAACCTGAAGTTTATCATTAATGTAAGACTAATATTTAAAGATATAGAACCACTTTGTTTGAAGAAAATGGTATCAGTACGTAATCAGAAAAACAAACTTCAAAATAAATGAAGGGAGTTTACTTTCCCTTGAAAATAACCCACTCCTCTAGTGTGCAACTGGTATCATAAACATCCTTTTAAAGGAATTTCATTGTTGCATGGTAGAGGGTGAAATGGTTTTGTGGAAGCCTCTATCCCGTTGATGAGTCTGGTCATTTTCGGGCATTCACTATGCATGTTTGTAGTAATAAGAACTGATGGTATTGTCTTAATCTTGTTACTCCAGTTGACCACTTTGCATGTCATTGGCCTTGCTAGTAGAGTGAGAGAACTGTTAGATTACTGATTCTTTACTTTGTTTGGATCATGGACTTTTTTGAGTACTTGATATAAATTATGGAACTTTCGTCCCAGAAAAAAAATGCATATATACACAACTTTTTTGCTTTGTTTTGCATGGGGGTCTCATACCCATTGGAATAGATGATCTCCCAGTTCCCTGCTATTTCTTAAAGCTTTTACTTTTTCTCACCAGTAATTATATACTATTGTATTATGATGTAGTTACGAAATTAGCTTTTTGAATCTCATTCAAATAAACATCAAACAAATGTGTTATTTTTAAGGAGAACTTTTGGGGCAAAGTGGGAAACTGAACAAGCACTGCCAGGAAAGGTTAAATAAACAGCTGTGGTAGAAAATGTAAATAAACAAAGTCTCCAGCTGTCTTGAAATAGAATGAAGTATCTAGCAATCAGTGGCTCTCATTGCGGTGACAATTTTGGTTATCACAAATAGGGGAGGGGGCATTTAGTGGGTGGGAGCCAGGGATGCTAAATGTTTTACAATGCTTAGAACAGTCTCACACAGCAAAGAATTGTCCTGCCTAAAATGCCAGTGCCCTTTGACAAATGCTGTTGAGTGTGAGATGGGGGCTAGCATGACTGAAATAGCTTTTTTAAACTGAAGTTGTTTTCCTTTTTAAAAATACTGTTACACATAAAATACCCCTTTCCATTAATTCCCTTTTGGAAAAATCACAAACAGAAGTAAATGATATACTATCTCAATGTGGGTTACTCAGAAAGTATGCCCATCTTCTAGCTACTGTTAGCAGCACATGAGGGCAGTGTACTGTGTCTACTGGGATTTGAGGAAGTAAAGAGTCAACTGTTGTTCTCATACAGAGTGTTAGTTTGCTATTTTTTCTTTTTACTTTAAAACATATTTTTACACCTTGATCTAGTACTTTTAAAGAAAATCTCAAGGCGATTGTGCATTTATTCTCATCGTCTTCGTGCAATTGTATAGTCACTTACTTATTTTGGCTTACTACCTTAGAGTGTATTATAGTTGAGATGGTATTTCAACATCTAACCATCTTTTCAGTAACCAAACACCTTTATATAGAACCATGTGCCGAAAAAGAAGTCTGAGCAGTTGAGATGGAATGGAATTCAAGGTATAGAGGCAAGAGGATGAGCTTCGGAGTCAATTAGACCTGAAGTGAAATTTCAGTTTTGGTACTGCATGTCACATGACCATAAGCAAATTGCTGAATCTCTTTGACTTGGTAGCCTCATCTGTAAAATGAGGATGATAATTCCTACTTTTGTGATTGTTTTGAAGAGTAGAGTTACTATATGTCTGGCATGGACTAGGCCCTCCATAAATAGGTGCCCTATAAAGAATGATGATGATGATGATGATGAAGAAGATGGAGAGTTCTGTAGCTACTGAACCTTGCCAGAAGCAACCAGATGATGATGATGATGATGATGATGAAGGAGAGTTCTGTAGCTACTGAACCTTGCCAAGAGCAACCAGATGATGATGATGATGATGATGGAGAGTTCTGTAGCTACTGAACCTTGCCAAGAGCAACCAGATGATGATGATGATGATGATGGAGAGTTCTGTAGCTACTGAACCTTGCCAAAAGCAACCAGGTGATGATGATGATGGAGAGTTCTGTAGCTACTGAACCTTGCCAAGAGCAACCAGATGATGATGATGATGATGATGATGATGATGATAAAGATAAAGGACAGTTCTGCAGCTACTGAACCTTGCTAAAAGCAACCAGCATGCATGGCATGCTCATATGCCTGGATTCCACAGCAAGGAATGGTCTGCAGGACCAGGTCAGGAGATGTTTCTGGGCATTTTCAGTTGGTATTTAGAGTATGTTTTCCCATGAATTAGCTATACTGTGGGTTAGTTTTTTCAGTCCCTTAAGCCATAGAGTTCAATTACTTTATAGACTAAGTAGGTCAGTGAGGACTAGCCTGGGAACAGAATTTCCTCTTGAATGTTGAACACACAGCTTTGATGTGGCACAGCCCCAGGCCTGTTGTCTAAGTGTTTATCACATGGAACTGATAGGCTGTGGAGGTTACTAATACTTACAGATATTCTTATTTTCATACTAGTTTTTTTTTTGTAATTCAGCCCCATTCTCTGCAGTTTACATGAGGGCTTTGTTCCAAAATTCTTTCAAAGGTTGTTTGAGACTGGAAAACTCAGAGGAAATGTATATATTTTAAGTGATGATTAGGAGCTAGGTTTGCTCTCATAAAGGCCTACTTTACCCTATATGGTTTGATTCAGAAAGAGTTAACCCAGTTTAAGCAAATATGATTATGTGGAGCTCCCACTGTGGGCTAAGCAGGAACTTTTCTGGGTGCATAGGCACGGTGATATTAATATAATCATAAATAAGACCTTCATGAAACATTTACAATCCATAAAGCAACTATACCTATAATTACAAAGTAGTCATTCTAAGTGCTACACTTTTTAAAATAAACTGCTTTTGGATTAAAGGAAATATTATTTCTGTACCGACTTATGAAAGTGCCGAAGATATATTGTTGGATGGAATAAAAGTAAATTACCTGTGTAGTATTTTTTCCCATTTAAAAACTGTTAGTATTCATAGAAAACACATAGAATATGTGACAGTTTGGGAGACTGAGCATTATGGTAAGAATGAAGGCTTTCAAGTCAGACTGCATACTTTTGAATCCCAGCTTGGTCTCTTACTGGAGGTGTGCACTAGGTCAAGTGACTTAACCTTTCTTTGCTTTTTTGCATCACCTATAAAATGTACATAATAATTGCACTTAACCTCTGAAGGTTATTGTGAGGATTAAATGAATTACCACATGTCAGGTGCTTAAAACAGCACATAGAATGCCCCAAAAGGAAAGATCACTTTGGTCAGAGGAATGAACAAATACCTAGACTGATTGTAGTAGCAAAGTTTTAGGTTTTAGAAGTCAGGAACCAAGTGGATAAAACATTAGAATCTAGCCATTAGATTGTTCTTCATTTTCTTCACTTCCTTTCTTTTGTTTGTCCTCCAGCTTTCTTACAGTCCCTTCTGTGATTGCAACAAGGGCAGACTGTTGAGGCAGGGGTGGGATACCGTTGTGCCCCTGGGGAGAGTGAATCAGGTCTGGTTTCTGTGGTTGGTGTATATGTAGGTGTGTGCATGGTGGTCTGGTTTTGTAGAATGTTTTTGTGCGGATAACCAAATATGTAAGCAATAAACATTAAAACAGGTTATTTTGTTCTTCTGTGGAGGTTGTCCTCGTGACTTATTTTATTGCAAAAAATACAGCGTCTTCAGTCAGAATATGCTTACTTGTAAAATATAAAATACACTATTGTACTGATAGGCTTAGAGATTTAGGGAGAAGAAAACAGAGAGCAGGGTTTTACCCTCCAGATTCTAGTGGAAGTGTCAGATTACCTGTTCTGCTTTTCTCAGAGATAGAGCAAGCTGTTTCTACTATGATTCTAACCTTTAGGTCTCTTAGGTCACTTTTTCTGTCCTAGTAAATGTAACGGTAGTACTTTATTTTTTATTACATCTTGCATATAAAAATACTTTTAAAACTTTTTCTTATTCAATGAATAACTGTTAATAATTTGAATAAATTAGTATACAAGCTTGTCATTTTCTCATTTGTCCATTTAAATGAACTAGTATTGAAATCAGTAAAATTACAATAATCATGTATTAGATGCACATTAATTTCTTTTTTCTTATCTCTTTCAGGATTTCTGGTAGGTCCTACTTTAGGACAAGATGTGGTGGTACTGTTGAAGCGTCAGTCTTTGATTCACAGACACTTGAGCTTTTCAGCTGGGAAGCCTTTCCATTTTTTTTTTTTTTTTTAACGGCTTACTGAACCTATGAAACCATGGCGGAAGGAGAGACAGAGTCACCTGGGCCCAAAAAATGTGGCCCATATATCTCATCTGTCACTAGCCAGAGTGTGAACTTGATGATTCGAGGAGTAGTGCTATTTTTTATTGGAGTATTTCTTGCATTAGTGTTAAACTTACTTCAGATTCAGAGAAATGTGACGCTCTTTCCACCTGATGTGATTGCAAGCATCTTTTCTTCTGCATGGTGGGTACCCCCATGCTGTGGCACGGCTTCAGGTATGTGTAGGATGTTTCTGTAATGCTTAGAAAGGAAATAGGGTAAATGAGTATGGATGTTGTCTGAGCAATAAACCTTTTTTAAAAAGAAAATATATTTATTGAGATGTAATGTAGATATAATACACTGGACCTGTTTGAATTGAACAACTTGATGTGTTTAGGTAAATGCGTACAGTCACGTGGCCACTGCCAATCCAGCTGTGGAACATTTCCATCACCCTGCAGACTCTCTCGTGTCCTCTTGCAGTCCATTCCCCAACCCAGCCTCAGGCTACCACTGACCTGCTTTCTGTTGCCATAAATTATTTCTCTGGGTTCTAGAACGCACTATGAATGAACGCATGAAGTATGTACTCCTTTCTGTCTCATTTCTATCTGTCCTGTAAACTTTTAACATTTACTTCTAAAAAACTATCCTGTTTCCCTTAGGGATGAAGCATTTAACCCTTTAATTTTGTTCTTTCTTCAACCCAGTTCACCTAAGTGTTATTTGAAGTTATTTTGAGGACGAGCACCACCATCTGGTTTTAAGGGTTTGATGCGTGTGTTGTGATCTTGTTTTTGAAGTAATAAAAACTTGAAAACTTGAATAATTCAAGTTTAAAGCTTCATGTTGTATTGTTTTAGATTTTTGTAAATGCCTTTTTCCTTGGTATCTTATCTTTAAGTACCTTAAGAATAAGAAATATTTAAAGAGATCTATAAGGTAGACTCTTTGCATAAAATTATTATCCTATTAGTTACTTTAGATTTTTTTTATTTTTTTTGGTAGTGGGCAATGTGTAATGCATAGAGTAGAGCATTTCACAATACTTTATTGAAGCCATACATCCACAGTGGATAGCTCTTTGGTGTTTTCTAATGACCAAGACCAATAGATTAATACTGTTTTTAATAATAAAGTAATAGAAGGAAACCATAATCGTGTGGTAGAAGAGGATTCTGATTGAAGGAGAAAATTGCTTTTTTAAATACCCATTTAATGTCTCATACTTAACATATATGAATGAATATCTTGCAACATAATATGTGTCCTTCTTGGCTTCCATCCAAAAGCTGGAGGTTGAAGGGTGAGTTTGAAGGGTGAGGTTGCACTTTAGAGAAGTGTTAGAATGGCCTTGTGAAACTTACTGGACAATTATAGAATCCGGTTGCACGGTTAGAGGGGCACCGTTGTAGTGAGGCTTTAGTATTTATATACTGATGTCTCACTATTACAGGGTTCACATTAAAAGTGAAGTCATGAAGGCAGTGATTCTTAATTTCCCCAGGGTTGTCATTCTCCAAGTGAAAAGGCAAAATAGTCCAAATAAAAAACAAATTAAATTGTATCACTCTCTGCTGTATGTACTGGTCCTCATGCCTTTTTCTTTCATTTAAATTCAGAAGAGAAAACGTTTTCTCAACAACTTTTCTAGTTCTTTGTTTCTTTTCTTCTATGGTGTAGTCTGGCTGCCAGTAGAAGCTTTGTGGGACATGGAAGAACATACATGTATTTTCAGGATAGAACAAAGGTCAGAGAAGGGAAACTGCTGCTTAGTGAATGTCTGCTAATGTGCTAGGTACATCCTGTAATCCCAGGGTTCTGTAGAGCAACTTTGGGAGAGAGATGTTTGGTTTTGTGCCTGTTTGCGGGGGGATGAGGACACTCACTGAGATGAAGAAAGAAAACCAGTGAGCCCAGGGTCCCAGAGCCAGTGAGTGTTGTGACTGGGCCCACATGTCACATGTTAGGGAAGGGAAAAGGAAGCTACTCAAACTTTCCCCTACTCAGGATGCCTCTTTTCAAGCCTCCAGACTGGGTGCCAGACCTAGATGGAATTCCCTGGCATGTGTTGTGCATTTGGGCTGGGGCAGGAGAACTTAACTGAGGTTTCATTGTACCTCCACTATGACGAGTAACAGGGCTGCATAGTGTCCTTCTGGTCCTTCTGCCCTGTAATGTCAGCACTTTTGCCATAAACTTACATTTTAGGAAGGAAAATTTCAAATGCTAATACCACAGTTCAGCCGCTACTTTCCTTCCTATTTCCAGCCACTAGGTTTGTCACACTTACAAACTTAACCTCATACCTTTTCATCTGGGGAATTTGCGTTTACATTTCTTGCTTAAGTATCTCTTCTGAAAGCAGTTTGTACCATGAGGTACTTGGGCAGAAGAGGGAGAGGCATTAAGAAATCTAGATTCCAGCGAATTCTGCTACCAATTTTGTTAGTTAAGTCATGGTGTTTAGTAGATGAGAGTGAAAGACACCAGATTTGTGCAAGTTACCAGAGATGGAAAATGGATTCTTGCAAAACCTCTGCTCTGCTATCCCCTGCATCATTATTTTAGGGAAAGTATTATGGGAAAAGAAGTAAATGATTTAAGAAACATAGTGTGTTTGAGTTTGTGTGTATATGTAATATGCATGTTTTTGTGTGTATGTGTTGGTGTGGATTTTCAAGACCTCTCTAGGGTCTTACCATCTTAAGTCAGAAAAACTGATAATCCTTTGATTTTCCTGTTCAACTAACATTCAGAGATCGAGCAGCTACCTTTTGGAGGGGCTCCAGAATCACCATCTTCTGTGTGTAGAAAGTACTCCTGGTTATTTGCCACCTTTCTCTATAGCACAATCCTGGAAAATTTGCTAGTGGTGTTTCTGGAGGGACAACTAATAGAGAACTTTGGTAAACTAATTTTGATGACTTTTTTTCTTAATTCCATATTTTTAGTTTGATAATGCTGATGTTACAAGTTAACTTCCTTATGTATGCCATGTACCAGAATTGGAATTAGAAATATTTCAGCGTTATTGAGGGCCACAAAGAAATCTTTCTAAAGAATAAATAGAAAAAGACAACTCATGTGGATAAAATAAGTAGAGAAGTTGCCTCAAAAATCACAAGTAGCCTGGTTGTGTCCAAACGTACGAAAATAATATCTAATGTAAAAAGAAAAGAAAAATCTTTCCTGTTTAGTTTTACAGTCCATTGCCCCATTCCTGTAGAACCTTGTAAGATTTCTTGCTTTGTCTCCTTTTCTACATCCAGTTTCCAAGTTTTACATCTTTCCTCTGTCTCTTTCTTGGTCCATCCATCCCTCAATGGCTGTGCTTGGAGTCTTTAGTCTTTTCTCTTCCTGCCTCTAGTTTTGCACCCACCCCTTTCTCAGCCCCCTTGTGTGGTACCCTCACTACTAAGAAGATGGCCTCTGTCTGGTACAACAGTGATGACATTGTTTTCCTGATTGCCCATTGTCTGCAGGGTAAAGGCTTTAGAATATGGCCCTTGCCTGCTTTTATCTTCTTCAGAGTCTTTCTGGACTCTGCAGCTTCCTTTGTGTCTGAAGCTTACAGCTTCCTTGTAACACCGGCAGTTTCCAGTTGTCCATGATTGTCCTCAGTCACCTCCCTTTAATGAGAGCACTGTTTCTGCGCCATTTACTGCTGAATGCTCCTGCCTAAAGTGTCACCTCTTTCTGTGAAGCTTTTCTGACAGCCCAGCACCTTGCCTTCCCACAGCACAGGCAAAGAGAAGCCTGGGACCCCTCTGTCCTGTCAGCTGTACTTAATGCAGGATTGTATTTAATTGTTTTGTTTCTACGGTCACTTTGCAACTGGAATCATATCTTACTCTTTTGCCTTTTTTTTTTTTTTTTTTTAAAGATGGAGTCTCACTCTGTCACCTGGACTGGAGTGCAGTGGCACCATCTTGGCTCACTGCAACCTCCACCTCCTGGCTTCAAGCGATTCTCCTGCCTCAGCCTTCCAAGTAGCTGGGATTACAGGTGACCGCCACTACGCCCAGCTATTTTTTTTTTTTTTTTTTTTTTTTTGTATTTTTAGTGGAGACAGGGTTTCACCATGTTGGCCAGGCTGGTCTCAAACTCCTGACCTTGTGATTCACCTGCCTCGGCCTCCCAAAGTGCTGGGATTACAGGTGTGAGCCACCACACCTGGCCTTGCCTTTTTAAATCTCCAGCAAATACCAAGAACCAGACATATTGTCAGGGCTTAAGTATTTGTTGAAGGAAAATATTATCTTGTAGTTTTCCATCGAAGTATACCTCTTGGAGTGTTTTTGTTTATTCAGTTCCTGTTTTCTTACAAAATGTCTGGCTTTGACTATGTTCCTTTTAGTGCCTCCCTGCATTAAGCACGCTCCCATAAAAAAGTGATGACTTACTACTGAGGTTTTACAAACTTCTTTAGTGTTTGGCTTTGGTAGACTGTAACTAGTTACTGGGAAATAACTTAAAGATATCACAAGTAATGTGATTTTTGCATCAGAGAACCATTTGATTTATAAGCAGGACTGTGTTTGCATATGATTTTACACAGCCATGATTTTAACAGTCTTTCTTGTTGTTTTTTTTTTTTTTAAAAAGTACAGGAAGAGGAAAAGAGGCCCAGACATATTCTGTCGAGCTCTCAAACAGTGGAACCTCACAGTATTGCATGTATTGCTATCAGACTCTGCCATGCCTTTATTTAAGGGAAAGAAAGAAGACATTTAATGGGAAGTGACAAGCTTCTTTGAATTCTCCCTCTCAGTGAGCAGCTGAGAACCATGCATACTCAATGGATTTGATTTTTATTGGCAAATCCCAGGGTTGGCAGTGTGGCAGTTTAAATTTCTTTTTGTGTTTTTGCTTTCTCTCCTCAATTGTCTCTCACTTGCAAGTCTGACATCACATGCATAAAAATATAGTCAATTTTACTTATTTATATCTTGGCACACACATGTCAGTATTCTCTATGTGATAATTCTTTACCTATGGCATCAGTTGCTCAGGAAAAGTGACTTGGAATGTCTGCTCTTAGTTGACTTTACTCAGCAACAGGCAAAGGGAGGATATATATCATGGGGGGGCCGGGGTGACAAATGAGCTGTTAGTTTTATGAACCCTTGAGAAAAAAAGGTGATATTTGTTTAGTTACATTTGAACTGTTAGGGATGCTTGTTGCCGTTTTATTTGTATAGAAATTTAAAAATCCTGTCAGTCAAATCTTCTCGGGATTTTGGAGCAGTCTTTTAAATAGGAATATAGTGTGAAACTTCTAGACTTACAAATAGTTATTGGAGCTCTGCATTGCCAAGATCTTAATCTCTTGATGTTCTGTGAGCCATCTATACTCAGCAAATGCCTAACTTAAAAGAATTGTGGACTAGAAAATGCATACAGTATTGCAGCATCTCATCTTGAGATAGAAGGCTGGTCACACAGCCTTTTTCAAATGCTGCACCATTGATCTGCTAGCCTGTGATTTTTTGATACTAATTGGTTTCTGTTTTTCTTCGAAGAGTGAATGCATTGCCTGTGAGATATAGCTGGCTAATATTGGGTAAGGAGAAGGCCTCTTGTCCCTCAGGCACTTAGATTTTGGCATTGTAATTTCATGATTCCTCTTGAGTGGTACTGGATATTTTAAACATGCTTTTCAACTGATGTGACAGTAGTGTCTTTATTGCCAGAATGACACAACATAATCATCCTGTTTTTAGGAAGATTAGAATGTTTTCATTAAATATTCTTTTTAATAACTAATTTAGCATTTAAAATTCTTTCCCACTAAATGAATAAAATGTTGAGGTTTGTTTGAGAAATATTTAAGAAAGGGAGAGAATATTTTGGGACCCAATCATTGACATTTTATATACAGTTATATATAATTAATGACACAGCATTCAAGGTGTTCTTTCCAGAACTAAGGGAAGTACTAAGATGATTTCTTCTTCTAACAGTGCATTTAAAATTTAACTGAAAATTTTAAATACCTGTACACCTTGTTTCCTCCATTGTTTCTATGTGCAGAATGAGTCTACCTGTAGATTACTGTTGTGAGTTTTCCTGCTTTGACAATATGACCTACAGCCTCATTAAAGGGCTAGAGTGGAAAGGAGTGTCAGTAAAAGGCGCTAGATGCGGAAGACTAAGACGGGAAGCTGGTAGGGGTGAGACTGATCTACGTAAGAGACCAGCCAGAACCATCAGAACATTGTGTGTATGATGAGCTTGTTGTATACTTTTATGCTTCTAGATTCTCTTTAGATTTGTGGCATGTAATACCTATTCTATGGTTTGGAGTTTAGAGAGAACATTTCTTTACTGCTAACTGGTTTGATACTTTTCAGGTCTCATAGTTATCAGTAGCAGAAAAGTAGCATGAATCATCTAGTCCAGTCTGCTAAATTATGAATCATATATTTGAAGAGTGTTTTGTTTATTATAATTTAGGGTGTTGTTGTAATCATTTGCAATACTTTCTTCATTGGTGTTATCCTCATTTCATTTCTTTTGGAAGGTAAGTTAAAAATATCAGTGATTGATGTGAAATAACTTGTTTGTTTTTTTTTTAAGAATCTTTAAAATGCTTGTGGTGGTTGTAGTGATTCTTTTAGCTTAAGTGTTGCCAGTACAACATTGGAGATAACTTAATTTTTTTCTTTTTTCCCTGCAGCTGTGATTGGGTTATTATACCCCTGCATTGACAGACATCTAGGAGAACCACATAAATTTAAAAGAGAGTGGTCCAGTGTAATGCGGTGTGTAGCAGTCTTTGTTGGTATAAATCATGCCAGCGCTGTATCCTTTACTCTGTAATGAAATGCATGATAACAAAGCTTCCAACAAACCAAAGGTTAAACAGCTCCTTACAACTTCACTGTTGTCAAATTGTGATATGCCCACTTAGTCAGAAGAACAATGTGAACCGTATTGTTGAAACATCAGTGTAGCAACTGTGCAATTATAAAGTGGGGTATAGCTTTTCATTTCAATTCATATTTTTCAATATCACTTAGAAACTTTGCAAATTTAAAATATTTACCTGTTTTCTTAAATTTGGTTACTTAATTACTTCTGTGTAGTTAATCCAAAAATGGAACAGGTACATTTTCAGAAGAGTTTTTTCCTCTCTTTCTTTAATAATTGCTAATAAGGACATGTGGTAGCTTCAGGTGCTATTTTGTTTGTCTTTTGTTTTACTTTTTTCTTTTTTTTTTTTTTGAGACGGAGTCTCCCTCTGTCGCCCAGGCTGGAGTGCAGTAGCTCGATCTGGGCTCACTGCAAGCTCCGCCTCCTGGGTTCACGCCATTCTCAGGCCTCAGCCTCCCGAGTAGCTGGGACTACAGGAGCCAGCCACCACGCCCGGCTAATTTTTTGTATTTTTAGTAGAGACGGGGTTTCACCATGTTAGGCAGGATGGTCTTGATCTCCTGACCTCATGATCCGCCCGCCTCGGCCTCCCAAAGTGCTGGGATTACGGGCGGGAGCCACTGCACCGCACCTGGCCAAAAAGCTTTTTTTTTTTTTTTTTTTTTTAAAGGTAGATGCATTGGTTTTAATCAATACTGACAAACCATGTAAATGGCATAAGTAGAAATACCAACTTAGACCTTGGTCAAAAATAAATTTCTTTCCCAGTACATATTTTTAAAGTTTTATTATTTGAAGATTCAGACATTTTATTTAGTGGTTAATGAGTGTTTTTACAGTGTCCCAGGCAGCCCCTATTTCTCTTGCCCTTTCTACCTTCTGTGCCCAGAAAAACATGTTTGCTCATAAGGTTTTTCTCCTGTCATACTCCTTATTTCCTCTCCTACTTCCTCCTCATTCGCTCTGACTTTCCTTGGTAGAAGAGGAACTAGGAAATGCTGTTCCTGTCTTTTTCTAGGAGATGTGGTTTAGACAGTGAAGGTGGCAGGAGCCTTGGGTACTTGGAAAAGCAGTAAGTGTGACCCAGGCTGTCAAAAGTTTGCTCTTACAACTCTGCACTGGACTCAGGGCTGGCAGAGTTAGCTAGCTGGAGAGAGAGGGCGGGCCATGTGTCAAGTAGATCCCTGTGTCTTTCACAGAAAGTATTGAGGTGTTGTGGATAAGCCTGGGGGCAGAAAACATGGAAAAGAGAAGGGTCCTAGATTCTGAAAACATATCCGCCTTCCTCTGCACAGTTGTGCTGGCTGTTGCAGTTCTGTGAATTTGGAAGTCCCTCAGTGGCTTTTATTATTTTTAATTTCCTTTTGTATTGAGGACATTTCCACGTGTTTATTTTGGTGAACTTTTTGAGATTTTAAGATTTTACAAAAAATCTAGTGGTCAGGAGGGCTTAAAAAGATAAGATCATATACCATTATATCTAGAAGAGAACTTAGAATCACCTAGTTCCACATTTTTTTTTTTTTTTTTGTAAAGATAATAAGACAAATGGAAACTAGAGAGGTTAGGTAATTTACTAAGTCATTTATTCTGCGACATTGCAGCAGAGCTGAGAACAGATCCGAGGGAGCCTGACTCAAGTCTAGGAACATCTCATTTGCCTACACAGAAGCCTCAAAACTGTATCAGTTCCTCTCTATCTGGTGGGTTAGATCTTTCTCTCTCAGACATTTCCACTTTGATTTTTGTTTTTATGTAGAGAAATTTAAATAACCTTTCTGAAATTTTAAAAACTTACTAAGTTTAAAATCTTTACATTGTTCACTCTTTCTTTCGCAATGAAATACTTAAATATAGCAATCTTAGATATCCTGTTGTCCTTTAAGTAAAGTCCAAAATGTTTACCGAATTTATAGCATACACTTCTAATATTAGGTTACTTAGACTTTTCAAACTCATATGGCACTATTTTTTTATTTTGTGAGATGGAGGCTTGTTCTGTCGCCCAGGCTGGAATGCAGTGGCACAATCTTGACTCACTGCAAGCTCTGCCTCCTGGGTTCACGCCATTCTCCTGCCTCATCCTCCCAAGTAACTGGCAGCCTCCCGAGTAGCTGGGACTACAGGCACCCGCCACCACACCCGGCGAATTTTTTTGTATTTTAAGTTGAGTCGGGGTTTCACCGTGTTAGCAGGATGGTCTTGATCTCCTGACCTTGTGATCCGCCTGCCTCGGCCTCCCAAAGTGCTGGGATTACAGGCATGAGCCACCGCGCCTGGCCCATATGGCACCATTTTAAGACTGATATATCTGTTTACTGTGGAAGCCTCCTTACTTCGCTGTGACTTTTAATTGAGTTTAGTTAACAAACATGAAACTCATTTAATACCAAATTCCACTCTTTACATGAGTGTTTCATAGGGAAATCAGAGCTCTAAACCTTTTCTTTGAACTTTAAGTATAATGATAGCGAAAGAATAAGAAAAGCTTTTCCAGAAAGCATATCCATATGAACTGTAGGTTTCTTTTTAAATCAAGCCTTAACAAGGAACGACCTTGAGGGGGTTGCCCACAATAGTCCTGAGATGCTGAGAAATAAGCAAGCTCGGTGTTTAGGATAGTTGCTTGGTAGGGGTAGGGAAATGGTGAAAAACAGAGTGTTAAAGGTAGTGGGAAATGGCTTCGTATGCATTTTTTTTTGGACTTCTCTGTACTTGTAGCGTGGTCAGTTTGGTGATATGTGTTCCTCCAAAACCTCCCCCGCCTTCCCCAGTAGCTGGTTGTAGAGCCAAGAGGTGGCCTTTGGGACATAGATAATGCCCTTTTAATGACACTTGAAATTAATTCCTTTAGTGTAATCCTCTAGCAAAGAGATGAGAAAACTGGATCTGTAAAGCTTTATTTTACCCAGAGATTTTGGTGTAGAAAAGGGCCATACTTTTGTGAATAGATGCTTAAGTAGGTGATGAAAATAAAATATCATTTGAACAAACTGTCCTATACCAGAAAGTCTCAGGCACCAAAATAGCTTGGCAGGTTGTAAGATAATGTTCACTTCAAGGCTTTATCCTCAACAAATTAAAACTAGAACAGTTGACATAATAGAAAGGGATACTGTGTCCTTGGTACTCTTGTTTCTGAACTGCATTATTATAAAATGTGTCTGTCAGTAAATCATAGAGAGAATGTGGTACCCTGTTAAATAGCTGTCAACTCTTCTATTTTCAAGTTCCTGTATGATTCTCAAGTAATTCTAAACCTGCTGGAGAAGTAATATTGGTTTCCTTTTTTGCAAAAGTGTGTTCTTTTAGTGATACTTGTGTTCTGAGACTTCTAGTTATTTTTAGCAAATATTAAGCATTTCTTAAATAATGGCCTATAATTGGGAATGTATGTAGACTGTTTATTTTTTATTTTTATTTTTTGGAGAAGTTACAGGTTGGTAGGATCTATTGATTAATGTCTTTTATGTATCTGGTATTGGGTAAATACTGGAGACGGTTTTAATCTCACCTAGCTTCATACATTGTACTAAGAGACTGAGGTACTTGAGTAGAAGCAATTAATTCCCTTCTCAACAGATGCATCTCTTATTTAGAAAAATGAACAGGTGATATTATTTGGTTACAAGTTTTAAGATGACTTCTTAACACTGATCTCAGAAAGTGGATTTTGATAACAACATACAGTTGTCTCTCACACTGGCTGCACTATCCATTGGACTGTGGTGGACTTTTGATAGATCTAGAAGTGGTTTTGGCCTTGGAGTAGGAATCGCCTTCTTGGCAACCCTGGTCACTCAATTGCTAGTATATAATGGTGTTTATCAGTAAGTATTAATCCTTAAAATTTTGGTGCATGTTTGCTAGATAAATAAATGTTAACTGCTTTCAGAATTGAGATTATGAAATGAGGTTAGCCAGTTGAATCTACAGAGTAGTTTATTTTCATTGTAATTATCTTAAGTGTCATTGCAGTTCCTCTGTGGATATTAAAGACACGTCTGTTATTCTAGATATACATCTCCAGATTTCCTCTATGTTCGTTCTTGGTTACCATGTATATTTTTTGCTGGAGGCATAACAATGGGAAACATTGGTCGACAACTGGCAATGGTAAGCTGATGCTTATTAATCACTTTTCTGAATGAGATGTATGACAAGTTTTATCTAAAAGGTAGTCCTTTAAGGGAAAGCAATTTGTGAAGACAACATTCTTTGATTGATTTTTTGCACTTCCATTGAAATAAATTATTTGGAAGAATTTAATCACAGGTGTTTTAAAAGTTGAGAAGCCACTGGAGAAAAAAGCTCAAAATGTGTTATGGATAGGGCAATATGATTTATTGACCATATGGGGGATATTAGTGGTTTTTAAAAAACTAATATACAGGTTTCCACTATATCAAAAAGGGACAGTTTTGAAAGTTAAAAAGGTCACTATTAATAAGTATGTTGCTACAATAGGTATAAATTAGGACCATCTCTAACAAATCAAGACGTTTGATCATTTGAGTTATGCAGGGAAAGGACATTGTTGATGATTCCAGTCATAGATGGCAAGGGTTAGGGAGTGACATTCAGAGGCCACAGCAGTTTTATGAGTAAATGCTGTCACTTTTACCTTTTTAGCCAGGTTGGGAGAATTGAGTGATTTACTTTGCTGTATTTTTGGTAAAATAGCCAACCAATTATCTTACCCTATTGGTTTCCTTTATTTTGAATTGTGGGTGTACATTTTTATAGCTGTACTTTAAGAATATTGTTTTGACCAGAAGCTTTTGTTAATGAAATAGATTTTTTCTTTTATATCATATAATGATTTGAAAATACAGTGATCTGAGTTCACCACAACAGCCCAGTCCTTAAGTTCGTGAACTGTTCTTTGCTAACTTGCCTTATTGAGTACTCAAAGAAACCTACTTTGCTTCCTTTCATATTAAAAGATTGATCTAAATTCTAAATCATATACTGCCACTATTTGCTCGTAATGCAAAAATCTCATCTTTCTTCTGCTTTTGGCTGTGGCTTTTTCACTTCCAGAAGGTGAATTATTTTTTTCCCTGTCCCTTTTGTCATTTAATCATAGTAATTATGTAACTCCCAGATTATTTGAGGAATAAATGGGCACATAGTAATAAAGAGTTCATTTTTAGAGCTTTTCAGTTTATTTGGAAGTTGTTATTCAAAAGAAATCTTCATCTGTTAACCTTTTAACCTTTTAATTTTTGCAGTATGAATGTAAAGTTATCGCAGAAAAATCTCATCAGGAATGAAGAAGGCAAAAAATATCTTTTGTACAAAAAAACAAGATGAAAAGGATGTGAAGTGGTAGATATACCAATAAAACTTCAGACTGTAAAATTGCCAGGATGCAGTTTTTCCCTTGATTGGCGTGTGTGTATATATGGATAAATATACACATATACACACACATATTACTGCAATCTGTGATTGCTTCATCTGTAAATCAGTTGCAAACCTTTACGTATTTGACTTAAATAACTGTAAGATATATATGTACTACATTAAAAAGTGTTGATTAATAGATGAAATTTTTAAATTAATTTTTTAAACATGCCACACATTGTTTCACGATGTTAATGTGCCAAAATATTGTTGCTGTCATGCAGAGTATAAGAATGCTTTGAACAATTTGTGAACTTAGTGAAATAAAATAAGAGGAAAGCCAAAAACAAACAAATAAAAAGCATATGGGGAGCTGGTATTTTCTCTTTAGCTTACTGTTGTGCCTTTTTATTTTTCTAATTACAGCAGTATGAGTTATGAGTGCCCTAATTTGTGGTTGGTTTCTCATTTAATGTTGTTTCATAGAGTTTGGAATGTTTTGATACAGGGTGAGAATGGACTTCTGGTTTCAAACCTGCATTACTGGAGATAGCCCAAAGAGTAATTTTCTGTTTTGACAGATCTTACTGGAAGTATATATGCTAAGCAAAAGAGGTTATCAGCATTAAATTGTTTTGGTTCTAAATTTGGAACACTATATATAATTAAAAGTAAGGACTACTAGAGGATTTAATTAGAATAAATACATGTTTTGGAAATACAGTGACCTCTTGCAGTGCCACAAAAGTGCAGAGTGGTATTAGCTGTCATCTGCAATACAGAATCTCATTGCTTTTGCACATGGAGCATATAGGAAACTCCAAACAGATCAAAATGAGGTTTCTAATTCTGTTGGGTTCTGTCATCTATTGGGTTCTATGAAGCAAACCACTGTAGCTTTAGCTGGGTTCGGTCATATGACTCATTGTTAGTGGAATGCCTCGTTTTTCATCTTATATGCAGTCTGGGGAGTGGATGGGTACATAATTTCTTATGTATTCATGTGTCCATTAGTGAATAGTTCAAGTCTGTTTAAGAATGTTTTGAGATGGCATTCTCTGCATGTTAAAGATCCTAATGGCAACCAGCACCTCTTAAGTATGGTTTAAACATATTCTTAGCTAAATTTTTTCCATTAGTTTTTGAAATTGATAGCAGTTGTCTGATCCACAAGGGCAAGATCTTCTGAGTACTCTGGAGCGTGTGTATGTGTGCATGCATGTGTGTGTTGGAGTGAGTGAGAGAATTTGTCTGTGCATGTGCCCATGCTTTCCTAGAATGTCAAGTAGATATTTTTACATTTTGAGTTTTAAAACAATTGCTATCAGACTGAGATCTTGTATGCCAAACTTTAATCTGCTTTTATGTTTTCAGGCTGAAGGTGTGAAAATCCTAAGAGGATTTCATATTGAATATGTGTACACAATCTTAACTATTGTGGTGGAAAACATACTACTATAATTTATTATTATATCTTCCAGATAATGTTATTCATTTAGAACAAATAAGGTATATTTTTTAGAATCAACTTTGTAAGCACTATAAAATCTTTAATAAGTTATCAGATCTATGATGTGTTTACCTTAAAAATTGCTGTTGAAAGCAACATGTATTAAATACGTAATTATCATCTGGGTTAAGAGTCTGTTTTTCTTTGTGGTAAGTCTTAGAATATGGTACTGTGAATTAATCTAATGAAATTAACATGTGTGGTTGAAGTTACCAAGAAATGATGAAGGAAACTAAATACAGTTGACCCTGGAGCAACAGGAGTTAGGGGCACCACTCCCCAACATAGTTGAAAATCCATGTATAACTTTTGACTCCTCTGAAACTTAACTACTAATAGCCTACTCTTGATCAAAAGCCTTACCAATAAGAAACAGTTGATTAACAACATATTGTGTATGGTATATGTATTATATACTGTATTCTTACAATAATGTAAGCTAAGGAAAAGAAAATGTATTTACTCTTCATTAAGTGGAAGTGGACCATCATAAATGTCTTCACTCATGCCGTCTTCACTTTGAGTAGTAGGCTGAGGAGGAGGAGGAGGAGGAGGGGTTGGTCTTGCTGTTGTAGGAGTGGAAGAAAATTTGCATTATTAGTGGACCTACATAGTTGAAAACCACGTTTTTCAAGGGTCAACTCTATATAGTATTGGTGAGATTGAATGATTATCATTGGTGTTCTTATATTATTTTCAGGTCATCTAGAAAATAAGATAATTATAGCAAAATAATAAAATTGTTTTGATATTTTGATAAATATATAAATGTATAAAACCTATTTTTTTCATTGAAAGAAAATGGGAAACATTTTTTAAACATTGCTAGATTGGTAGTACTTTCTTTGATTATTTCAAGTTATAGAAATCTGCACAGTTGAAAACGGGATAAATTCTACAAAAGTGCAAGAAAACAATTCAAATTAGCCAGAGCCCTGCTAAAACTTTTAATGTAAAATTTCTTTATTTGCACTGAGCTGTTTTACCTTCTTTAAGACCATTGGGACCTCTCAATGATGCATATGTTTTATACATCTTGTATTTTCCAGGCAGAAGCCAGACTTGGTTAATATCAATAAATACTTCTGTATTCCTATTGGCTCACTTACCTTTGTAATGAGGTATATTCTGTAATTCTTCCAGTGATGGTCTGAATAGTAGAGTCTTAGCTTTGTGTGTCTGAAAAGGTCTGTTTCATTCTTGAAGAATAATTTGGCAGGCTGTAGAATTATAGGTTCATAGTTTTTTTCCCTCCCTCAGCACTTTGAAGATTTTTATCTCATTGTCTTCTGTCACCTAATGTTACAAATAAGTCTGCCATTACCGTAATTTTCTTTCCTTTTCTAGATAATCTGTCTTTTCACTCTAGGATATTTGCATGACTTTCTCTCTATCCTCTAACATTTTTCAGCTGCATTATCATTTGGCTAGTTGTAGATTTGTTTTATTTTTGTTTTTTTTTTTTTGCTTGGTATTTGGCATGTACTTTCAATCTGTGAGCTCATGTTTTCAATTCTGGAAAATTCTTAAATGTGCCTGCATATTGGAATCATATGGGGACCTATAGAAAATGCTGGTGTCTGGGTTCCACCCCCAGAGACTCTGATATAATTAGTCTGGGGTATTCCCTGAGCATTAGGATTTTTAAAAGTTCCCCAGTTGATTCTGATGTGCCACCCAGGTTGCCACTCACTGGTGTAGTTATGCATAAAATAAGGGGGAGAGTCCAGGTGAGAGAGATGAGATGGGTAGTGACATTGGAAATGAAGAATGAGGGGCACATTTTGGAATAAAATCACCTGAACTTGGTGACTTGGGTGTGAAGGTTAAGGATAAGGAAGAGTCAATGGTAAGTTCTTTTTTTTTTATCTTGAGAAACTAGGTGGATGATGTTTCCATAAACTAAAAGAGAATGTAGAGAAGCAGGCGAATGGGTACAGTTAACAAGTTTGGTTTGATGTGTTGAGGTTGAGTTATGTAGGGCACATCTGATAAAGGTGCCATAAGCACTCGGATATTTGAGTCTGGGCTGTTGGATGTAAATGTGGAGTCATCAGCATGTGACAGTAATAAATGTTGCCTTAGGAGTGGATGAAATCACATAGGGAGCATGTTATGGTGAAAAGAGAAGAGCGATCAAGAGTAGGAGGAAAGCTCACACCTGTCATTGCAGCACTTTGGGAGGCTGAGGCAGGCAGATCACGAGGTCAAGAGATCGAGAGCATGGCCAACATGGTGAAACCTTGTCTCTACTAAAAATACAAAAATTTGCTGGGTGTGGTGGTGGGCATCTGTAGTCCCAACTACTCGGGAGGCTGAGGCAGGAGAATCACTTGAACCCAAGAGGCGGAGGTTTCAGTGAGCCGAGATTGCGCCACTGTACTCCAACCTGGAGACAGAGTGAGACTTAGTCTCAAAAAAAAAAAAAAAAAAAAAAAAGATAGGAAGACAACCAGAAAAGTGATGGGATGAAGCCAAGGTAGGAGGAAGTTTCAGGCAGAGAGTAACTGGTACAATGAAGTACAATTGGAAGGATGAATTAATCTTGATGATAAAGAAGATGTTGTTTTACATTGAAAATGTTTTTCTAACCTGCTGTATCTTAACATATAAAATCCCTCCTTGTATACTAATAAAATAGTTCACAAAATATCTTAAAGAAAAGCCTGATTATATACTGAATCTTTTATTGGGAGTGAAGGGTTCTGGGGCAACTAGCGAACTTTGAAAGAATGATGGACGTTTGGACAACATCTATGAAGAATGGACATAGGAACTGACTAGAGATGAAGAAAGAATTGCTAGACAGTGTTGAGGCCATCAAGGATCCATGTGAGGATAGAGGTCAGATATTTGCAGTAGAGCCAATTGACATTGTTCTGCCATGTCAGTGGGCTCAGCAGCCCAGGAGTGTAGACCCGTCATGATGAAATACATTGATTGTAGCTGATAATTCACTGGTAGGCATGGCACAAAGATATGTGAAAAATTAATAGAGGCTCCCAGTGAAATATCCACAGACGTTATCATGGGATCCATGCAAATTGGGGAAGGAAGTTGAATCAGCAGTGCTGACCTGATGGTGTGAGGAAATGGGATGAAGTCAAATGACTGCAAGTGTTGAGATTAAAAATCCAGTTTAAGGGTAAGGGTGGTAAGTTTGGAGTTTGTAAGCAAAGAGGAATATAGTGGAACATTTCCAGATCTTTATGAGGTCCAAAGAGTGATCTAAACAACTGTATTTACATAGTTCACTGAAGTGGGTAGAGATGAACAGCAGTGGAGTGGAGGTCCAATGCATGGGTGACCAGATGTTAATGTTGGTATTGATGTTACCTGGAGTGATCTCAAAGGTCAGGTGGGAAGGAAGGGTGTCATCTATACTCTTTTTCACCATTTGAGCAGGGACTTACCTCAGTGCCTTGACTGTATTGGGATTTTAATTAGAATCTCTTTCCCCCTCTTTTATTTATTTAATTATTTTTATTTATTTTATTATTTTTTTGAGACAAGGTCTTACTCTGTCACCCAGGCTGGAGTGCAGTGGCATGATCTCGGCTCACTGCAACCTCTGCCTCTCAGGTCCAAGTGATTCTCCTGCCTCAGCCTCCCTACTAGCTGAGATTATAGGCACCCGCCACCACACCCGGCTAAGTTTTGTATTTTTAGTAAAGACGGAGTTTCACCATGTTGGCTAGGCTGGTCTTGAACTCCTGACCTCAGGTGATCCACCTGCCTTGGCCTCCCAAAGTGTTGGGATTACAGGCTAGAGTATTTATTTTTTAGATATTTATCACCCTAGGTGTTCTGAAATTTTACTACCATATGTTTAGGAGTGGGTCTTTTCCTGTTGATCCTGTTCAGTCAGATATATCTTTTGAATTCTGGGAAATTTACTTCTGTATTTGCTGTTAGTGTTCCTTTTTTCACTTTCTCTATTCTTTTCTTCTAAAAGTTCTGTATTCTAGATATATTTGACCTTCTGTTTCTGTTTTTTATATAGCCCTTAGCTTTTCTCTGTTGTGCTACCATCTAGAAGAATTACATAACTGGTGTTCCAGCTCAGCGAGTTGCTCTTCAGCTGTATCCATCCATTCAGCCCAGCAGTTGAGTTTTTAATTTTATTGATAGCAATTTTAATTTCTAAGATTGCTGTACTTTGACATGGAAGTATATTGCCATTCTTGTATTTTTTCTGAGAATATTAATTGCTCTTCTAAAGTTCCAAGCACTTCTAAAGAGCCATTGCAGGGAAGGGTGGGATGAGCCTACCACCAGCCGATCTCCAGTTGTGAGTGCTCCCTGGTTTGCCTTGGGCACATTGCCATGCTTCTTGAGACTGTCTGCACTAAACCACTCACATCATGGGGTAGATACCATGCTGTCTCTGCCTGGTCCAAGGTTGGCAAGTAGGAGAAGTGTAGAAGGGTTGGCCAGACTGGCTGCTTTCACAGAAGCCTGGTTGAACCCATAAGGTCAGTTGCCCTGCATTTCCAGCTCCCAGCATCAGCTACCTCAGAGCTTAGGATGCCTCTGGTTTCATATTTAGCAAGTCCTCTCCTTGAGTATTTCAAGCTGTGGTTTCCCTCCATCCAGCTGCTCACTGTTGCTTTCAGGGATTCCTTGTAGTTTCTGGTTCACAGAATGTACTTATTTTGCAGTATAGTTGTGGATTCCTTTTTAAAAATCTCTTTCTTTTTGTTATTTCTATGGATTTAGGGTAGGTGGAAGAAGCTGCAGCATGCCTACCCGACACCTGATTCAGCTTTCCCCACCACTTTTTTGTACTACAAAATCATGCCATCTCCCTGATCATTTGTCTTTACCTTTCAAAAACTCGGTTTAGTTAGGAGCTGAGATAAATAGGTTAAGTCAGTGGTTTCTTACTAGGCCTCAATAAAAATCGGGATGTAAAGGGTTTTTTCCTCATTGAAATACATATAGTTCATTCAGTTCATTGTGCCAGCAAGTACACTGGCATCTGCTCTTTTATGCCTCCCTTCTTTTTATTGCTGATGAGATCTGTGAAACCTGTCATCTTTCTTTGTGATTTACAAGATAGACTTTTCCAGGCTATGTCAACTGTTCTGAAGACAATGTTGTTAAGTATCAGATTTGGCAGATCAG